CGGAGCCCTCAGACCTATTTTAGATCTGAGACATTTGAACAAAGTGCTTGTGAAAAGACCGTTCAAAATGCTTACAACCAGGAAAATCCTCGCACACGTTCGCCCGAAGGACTGGTTTATTTCTCTCGATCTGAAAGATGCCTATTTTCAGATTCAGAAAATACCCTGTCACAGGCCATTCTTGAGATTCACCTTCGACGGTCAGTTATGTCAATACACCGTCCTCCCGTTCGGCCTGTCATTGGCACCTCGCACATTCACGAAGTGCATGGACGCGGCCCTCGCGCCCTTGAGAAATTAGGGCATGCGAATTATGAACTATTTGGACGATTGGCTGATTCTGGCACAGTCAGAGACGGAACTGTTGTCTCACAGAACAGTGCTTCTCAGTCACCTGGAAAGCTTGGGTCTCTCGGTCAACTGGACCAAGAGCTCATTAACGCCCAGTCAGTCAGTTTCTTTTCTGGGAATAGAACTGGACTCTGTGGCCATGACGGCTCGTTTATCGACACAGCGCGCGCGCCGTGTTAGTCACCTAGCTGCTTCTTTCCAGAAAGGCAGCATCGTTCCCCTGAAGACATTTCAGAGGATGCTGGGCTATATGGCCACAGTCGCGGCAGTGCTTCAGCTGGGCTTACTGCGCATGCGCCCACTGCAACGCTGGCTGAATGCCCGTGCGTCTCGCGGGGCCTGGACAACCGGCTGCAAACGAATCAGAGTGACTCAGAGCTGCATCTCAGCTCTGCAGCCCTGGTTAGTGGCCGACTGGTATCAGCGGGGTGTGATGATGGGAGCTGTCTCATATCGAAAAGTCATCCTGACGGATGCGTCCAACTCAGGTTGGGGCGCTCTCTTCGAGGGCAGACCGGCCTTTGGACTTTTGTCAGACCAGGAGAAGCTCCTCCACATAAACTGTCTGGAAATGTTGGCGGTCGAGAACGCGTTTCCTCACGTTTTTACAGGACCACCATGTTCTAGTCCGCTCGGACAACATGTCTGTAGTGTCCTACGTGAACCGTCAGGGCGGGGTCAGATCCAGAAACCTCTGCGATCTGACGGAACGCCTCCTCGTTTGGTCTCAGCATCATCTGCGCTCGCTGAGAGCTTCGCATGTGCCAGGCCACCTGAACGACGGCCCAGACAGACTGTCCAGGAACAATGTTTCCCCAGGGGAATGGTCCCTGCACCCCCAAACAGTCCAAACACTATGGCGCCTTTTCGGCAGAGTGGAGGTCGACCTCTTTGCGTCAGAAGACAACGCTCACTGCCCAATGTTCTTTCCAAAGAACGAGGACGCGCTGGCCCAAACCTGGCCCAGCCCCCAGTTGTATGCTTTCCCTCCGATTTCACTGTTGCCACAGGTAATCAAGAGAATCAGGGAAACGCAACACTCGGTGCTCCTTATAGCCCCGCGTTGGGAGAATCAAATTTGGTTCCCGGAGCTGACGCGGCTGTCACTTACAGCCCCGTGGCCTATTCCGGTGAGAACAGATCTCCTCTCTCAAGCTCGCGGCACGATCTGGCATCCCCATCCAGAGTGCTGGTCTCTGCACGCATGGTTGATCAACGGATACCCATTATCCTGCCAGATGGAGTGATGAACACGATTATGCAATCCAGAGCTCCCTCTACTAGAAAGCTCTACACATCTAAATGGCATGTGTTCTCCAAATGGTGCACCGACAGACGACAGAACCCACAGACATGTGGGGTTTCGCAGGTGCTCGTCTTCCTTCAAGAGCTGTTGGACAAGGGCAGGTCCCCCTCCACACTCAAAGTGTACGTGGCGGCCATCGCAGCATTCGCAGAGTCGACGCGTAGCCAGTCAATAGGAAGAAATGAGCTGGTCATCCGTTTCCTTAGAGGAGCTAGAAGGATGAACCCTCCGCGGCCCCCGTCAGTTCCTATCTGGGATCTTTCATTGGTCTTAGAGGCCCTGAAAACATATCCCTTTGAACCATTAGATTCTGTGGATCTGAAATACCTCTCGCTCAAAACCGTTTTTCTGACAGCACTGTCATCAGTCAAACGTGTGGGCAGAGCCGGATTATCCATAAGGGCACTTGGGCCAGTGCCCAGGGGCACCAACCATTCACAACCACTAGGGGGGCACCACATGAGTCAAGCTTTAAAAATATTTTTCGTAAATTGTTATATTATTAACTTGAAATTCTTGAAAGACCATAAATAAATCGTTTATGAACACTAATTTAACAATAATAATAACAATAATAATTTAATAATAAATTATAAATAAATAAAGATTACATGACCACTATCACTCCCCCTCCCCAATCTGTCAGAGTTGAGTTGGTCCACAACAAATACGTGCAAACGTGTCATTTTTTTAGCGGCTACAGAAAATGAATCTAAATCAAAACTGGACAGATGTCAATTGAGTGGTTTTGCAAAAAGAAAGTTAAAGAAAGACAAGGACGCTAGACGTTTAGCTACAATTCACAATGTTCCAGGGATCGAAAGATTTTTTGTGAGAACATCACTAGTTTTTTGTGAGAACATCACGGGAATTGCGATCACTAGCAGCGCTGAGTCTGACGAAGCCGGAGCTAACTGTGGAGACGGTAGCTGCTAACAAAGAAATGGACTTTGGGGATGTAGTTGACACCTTTGCTTGCGCAAAATCAAGGAAGAAGCAGTTCTGCTAAACTTAATACATGAAAACGTTTTATGTATTGTATATGTATTGACATACATTGCGCGCTCCGCCCCTTTCAGGCGCTCGGAGCAGCTTTTTGTTTCGTTTGGTGGGCGCACCAAGGGTCTCGCCGCCTCGAAACAGAGCCTGTCCAGATGGATAGTGGACGCTATTGCTGCTGCTTACGCGTCAAAAGATCTGCAGTGCCCTTTGGGCATCAGGGCTTATTCCACTAGAGGCATGGCCTCATCGTGGGCATGGTCCAGCGGAATTTCTATTCATGACATTTGTACGGCGGCAGGCTGGGCCTCTCCGTCTACATTTGTGAGGTTTTATAACCTGGAATTTCCCGCCTTGCAGGCTAAACTTTTGTCAGTCTAATAGTGTGTATGATCTGCCCGCATTTCTGCGCGCAGTCTACTATCACGAGACTAAGCTCTTCTGGTTGAGCCGCACTATAATGGGCCGTTATATCAGACCGGCTATGCTGCTCTGCATTTCCCATGGGGTGCTTATACATGTGTCGGCCCACGATGCTGGCCCCTATTTTTCCACTTATCTTGTTTCCCGACTCGGGGACTCCCGACAAGTGGATGCTTGGCGCGCACGGTGTTGACAAAGGGTTCCCGTAGCGTAAGCTAACTTACGCAATACGAGAGAACCTCTCGTAAGAGAACGTATCGGTTACATAACGTAACCTCGGTTCTCTCTAGAAGAGGGAACGAGTATTGCGTAACCTGCCGTGCTCGCGCCACGAGCGACTTTCGCTTCAGTCGATGAAAACCAGAGAAACAGCCTCCGAGCCCTGCTTATATACGCTAAGCCACGCCCATACTGGCGGGCTATGATGCTGTGAAGGTGCGAGCGCCCTTCATTGGACGTGACGTCACGTCGGGCTCAGTGGTAGGCTGCTGCAGTTCCCGCAGGGCAGCCTATGAGCACGCTAGACAGCCTGCTCTTGGTCTGCTAGCTGCTGCACTGCGTTGACAATGAATACAAAAATTAAGGATAATTTTTTGGCTTCAATATCTCGAAAAGATGAATCTTTCCCATAGCGTAAGCTAACTTACGCAATACTCGTTCCCTCTTCTAGAGAGAACCGAGGTTACGTTAGGTAACCGATATGTTTTTCCTGGTCAGTGGCGGAATTGTTTTCTGGAACTGCAAAATAGCACCAAGGAACGTTTGCGCCGGAACACGCCTCCTCTTTTCGCTGAACCGCCCTCGGGAGTGCAAGTTCATTCCCTAATTTACCGACGTGCGTCTGTGGAGGGAAAAGTCCGCTGTGCGTAGGGTGCAAAATAGGAATGATACATGTGTCAGTGTACAAAGTCAATTGCTCATTCCCTAATTTACCGACGTGCGTCTGTGGAGGGAAAAGTCCACTGTGCGTCGGGTGATAAATAGGAATGATACACGCATCGTTGTACAAAGTCAATTGCACTGGGTGCAAGATAGGGCCCATAATCTAAAAATAACAGATTCCACTCTTGCTTCAGCTTCTATAAATTTTTATCAACTCTGTCTCCACTTATCTTCTCTCTCAAGTTCAGTAGCCTAAATATAAAAATTGCCCTCTTACGCATGCGTACTGTTTTAAATTGAAATTAAGTTGATCTATGCAATTGTTTTCAAATCTGAATTGAAATTAAGCTGCAAATGGGTGTTCTTAAATGTTGGACCTTTTGGACATGATAGAACACAAGCAACCAAGTTTCAAATGCGACAATGTCATTCACTGGGCTCTCAAGTTTTGAAGACAGGCAAGAGTGACATAACATTTTTTTCATTGGTTGTTGCGTTAAATTTTACCCAGATACCATACTATGGTGCTATTTTCTGATTAGCTGTTGTGTAGCCCCTTTCTTTTTTTGATTGGCTGATAAGTGGCAGGCTCGACTAAGAACTCCAGGGGAGACGCTTGATTCCTGCCGGTTCCATAGTGAGACCGGCGCGGCCAGAGAAATTTTGGGCGCTGCGGCATATTAAATATATTATAAATAATTTTTCCGCGTGAGAAATACAATGTGTGGCGGGAGTGCGTGACAAAAGACCGAAATGAGTGACTGTCACGCTCAATGCGTGACACTTGAGAGCCCTGATTCACTTGAAGCTCTTAAAGACAATCAAGCAAAAAATGCCCTATTTAATTTTAAGGCTCAGAGAGAGGGTGAAAAACAGCCATGCAAAACCAAATTATGATTGTTTTAGTATAACAAAGTGACTTATGTTATTAAGTTAGTTTTGAGTCTAACAAAAAGTATTAAATTGTTTAAAAATGCATGATATAACTCTTTTAAAATTTCAGCCATTCAGTAATCTAATGAAACAATGGACACGAAAGCTAGTTCTGAAAATAACACTTTATTTGCTTCTAAATTCTAGCGATTTAACACATGTCAGTGATACGCCTCATGCTCATGAATCTCATGTTGCTATATCCCATATCTCTGAAGCTCCTGTACTCTCCGGGCCTAAAGTATATCATCCTGCCTCTGTAGTTGGGCTGCTCATGCATGAGCCAATGACCATCCATCACATGACAGGACTGGCAGTCAGACATACGGAAACGATCCATGATGTTTTCACAGTCATCCATCAGCTCGTACATCTGTCCTCCAAAGTTATCCCTCTCATAGATCCTCATCCTGAAGGATCCCCTGTACTGTAAAACAAAAAAAGATTATTAATTTAGCAGATTTTCAGCAATGCATGCATAGTATACCATAAAAATTATGAAAAAATTGTGCATTGTTAAATCTGCACAACACCATTAACAAAGTGAGACCCTTACTGCAGGAATCATGCGGCAAGATCTGATACTGTCGAACATCATGCCCATGCTCATCATGCGCTGCATGTCATGGTACTCGCCCCTCCTCAGGAAGAACTGGTTGCCCATGAAGCTATTGCGCTCATAGACCATGAAACAACCGCTCTCCACCCTGATGGAACCAACGCGGCTCAGGTATGAGGAGATATCAGAACAGTCGTTAATACACTCATAGTTGCGGCCCTGGAAGTTCCTGTCCTCGTAGAAGATGACCTGTTGATGAAATTAAAAAATACACTGTTTTTAAATAAACAGAATGCTTTTTAGATCTGAATTGCATCAGGTTTCAAACAAATACTATCAAATATTAAGCAATTGTATTAAGCATACTTTTTTCAAGCACTATTACCTTGCCCATGGTGGTGATGTGTTGTTTTTCTCAGTGCTTCAGCTCACTGTACCAGCTGTACTTTGATGGCCTTTGGTTGTGGTTTTTATACAAGAACCAGGGGCTCACATTTGTTGTTATTCAAATGCCAAAAGCTGATGATTAAGCAGTATGACTTCTGCTGAAGTAGTCCTGTAAACTGAAACAATAGATTTTATCCATACATCTCTGGCAGCTTTTTGTGCATTGTCTTTTACAGTATAGACAAAGCTTTAGTCACATCCAGAGCGAATGTGACCGTATTCACATGACAGAGACAATGTAGCTGACAGCTTTCCCCTTATCATATTAACTAGTTTTACAAAAGGGACAAAATAGAATTCAACTAACCTTTTATACTTATAATTGTAATTATAAATGTAATTTGTATACTCAAACAAGGTAAGATTGGATGTCAGGCCATGGAAATAAATGCTCTTTATGCACAAGTATAGCATTCATCACATACAAACATACAATATTTATCTTTGTATTTACAGTCTCTTGTAACTATGCATGTGCCATTAAATGTGCTAAATATTTTATTTTATATTTATAAATATACATTTATTACTCATATTTAAATATTGCACATGGAAACAGAGAGAATTCAGTTTCCTCAATTTCTTACATGCACAGTACAAGCAGGATTGCTCCTGCCAAGAGAAATTCAATTGACCATGGTAGATGAGCATCAAATTAACCAAGCAAAAGTAGTATTTGTTTTTTATTAAAATAATACATTTAATCCAAATAATACATATATTTAAACACCTTTATATATATATATATATATATATATATATATATATATATATATAAAGGTGTTTAAATATATGTATTATTTGGATTAAATGTATTATTTTAATTAAAATAAATTTATATATTATAACAATGAATTATTATAATTAATAAATAAATATATTTATATATATATTTAAACACGTGGATGAGAATATTTAACGAGTACGATTTTAGATGTTTGAAATGGTATTATTCATTATTTATATATACCTTTCATATTTGTGTTTCTTTCACTTCATAGTGCAAGCTTTTGACATATCATTTGAAATATAATTAAAACCTTTTATGTTCCATCTGTTCAACAACAGAATCTCACAGACCCATAATCTATTCTGCTGTCTTTATACAGTCTGCAGGTAAGAGTGATGAGTATGTGCTTCTTATAAATATATGTGCTTCTTAGTTTCAATAGAGAAATAAAACTTATTTTTTGTTTATTAATGTAGGCAGTGACTTTAGTTTAGATCAGATTTTCTGAAGAATTTATGGGAAATCCAGGTAAATATTTTCCTGTATGTATTGTACACTGAAAACCCGGATATGTTCTACTAACTCAAAGAATTTTGAGGCAAATGATTGCCTCTATTTTTTAAGTTTGCAAACTTAAATATCATCAGGAAGCATAGTTAGTTTTTTTAATAATTGTAAATTACAAATAAACATTAATTTAAATCAAAATATATATTTAGTGTTTTGTTCATCTTAATTTAATGCAACTCAAAGTTTTAAGTACTGACAACTTTAATTACTTCACTTATGCAACTAAAAATATCCCTTTATACATATCAAAATTTTACTTTATCTAAACTTAGTTTTTTTAAGTCACTTTAAATGTTATTAAATTAAATTATATAATTTCATATAACTTAAATTGTAGTAGCAATGTTACTTAAATATTTTGTGGCAACTGATTGCCTTTTTTTTTTTTTTAGGTTTCCTCTACTCGAATATCTATTTTACAACTTAGACAGCACTGTAAACCCGAATAAGTTGGCAAAACGAAAAAAAATTCTCAAAATTTTTAAGTTTAGAAATTGAAAGTTTAAGCAGAACTGGCAGATTTTTATTTTGTACTCTACATTTTACTTGTTCTTAACTTGAAATGTTTGAGTAGACTAATTCATACATTTATCTTAAAATGCTCCAACCTTAAAGTTTATATTTTTATTAGTATAAACTTAGCTAGCTATAACAAACTAGTTCAATAAATGCTAACTTGCTCACTTGCTAACATGTTAACAATAGCATGGTATAGCTGTATGAGTGCAGCAATATAAAGCTTTTAACATTGTTCTCAAACCAAGCCGCATATTCTCCTAAAATCAACATTAACAGAACTTTTTCTAAATTAGCATAACAAAACATTAGTCACTAATCTCCCACTTAACATTAATCTTGCACAAAAAAAAAACATAATATTACACTTAATTTTAACATGGATTCTCCCTTTCGTGTGCCATCTGGAAAGCATGCTGGGAAATAGAAATCCCAGTTTCAGTTAAATTTAAGTTTTTCTGTAAACTTAAACCGGAATAAGTTGGAAAAACTTAAATAAAATTAGGTAATTGGTTACATCAAATTTTTAAGTTAAGAAATTTAACGTTTAAGTAAGCAGAACTTGCAGATTTTTATTTGTAATCATACATTTTTATTGCTGTTAACTTGAAATATAAAAACTAAATCTCCTACTTAACATTAATCTTGCACAAACATTTTTTTACATAACTCTTAATTTTAGCATTTACTCTACCTTTTAAGTGTCATGGCAATAGAAATCCCAGCCCAGTTTCAGTTAAATTTAAGTTTGTCTAAATTAAAAGAAACAAGTTCATGGAACTCAAAACAATGAAACAATTCAATTTACTTAAAATTTGTCAGTTTTGTGAACTCAAAAGAATAAAAAAGTTCTAAATAATCATAAAAGTTCATTTGATTGAACAAATTTGTATATTTTAAGTTGGCCATACTCAAACCAATTAATTATTTTGAGCGTTAGGGTTTACAGTGCATGTTTGACATTAAAATATTTGATTATGGTTGAATCTATTTTTTCAAGTTCCCTAAACTCTAAACTTTATCGGAGTTGTAAAAACTTCATAAAATATTTAGTGTTAACTTAAATCTCTGATAGATGTTGAATGAACTCAAAAATAATAGTTAGTTAAACATTTTGGCACATTTTGAGTAAAAGGTACTTTCCATTATAAGTTAGTTATACTGTATGGGTTTACATACAGTTTGTTGTTATTATTGTTTTATCTTTTCATAATTGTAAGATTTGTAAATGTTTAAAAATGTAAATATCAAATTAATCCTCAAGCCGTATTCGGGACAAATTTGGGCAAAATCTTTGAAAAAATTTTTTTTATACTTTCCTTAATCTGAGCGGTACAAGACCTGGCTACTTTTCCTAAGTTTGCCACCTGAACACACAATTTTTTTTTTACTCGATTCTACAATATTAAGTGGTTGAAAACTTCTTAATTTCGCGTTCGTGGATAAAAATGGGCACCCATAGGAATGAATGGGAAAAACTATAATTCAGAGCATTTAGTTTTTTATTTGTCGAATAAAAATCAATAGATCCAACACAATGCAGATCATACGATACTGGTTTATTCTTACCTTTTGGTACCATTTACTTTTTTGAGTTATTGAAATTTTATGTTTTTTTTTGTTTGAAATAAATTATAAATGATCTACTACTTTGTCTTTTCCTTATAGCATGGTTAGATTTGTCTAAGCATATTTTGGCATCTTTGTATAGTCTCACCCAACACAGATGTTTGTTTTTTTTATTACAATTTTAACTTGTGATAAAATCAAAAACTTAAGAGGTTAAATTCGTTATAACAATGGTTTATAGAGTTCAGCCTATATGCACCCATTGAGTACTATACAGCTATACAGTGGCTATTGATATTATTGTTTTTTTGTTATTTTTATACCAACATATGACACCAGATGACACCAAAGTCACCACATTTTTTTAGGTTTTGGCTGCCTGAACTTACTGGAATGAACTTTTAGAGGTAAATAAATTCAAAAATACCCCAAAAATAAAAAAATGGCATAAATTGATAGTCTTTATTTTATCGGAGATAGTGATATAACATTTATTATCAGATCACACCTGAGACCTTCGTGCCCAAATTTGTCCACGAAGGCGGAATTTAGGGCTGCTATGTGAATACGGCTTGAGGGTTAAAAAGTAAAAAAAAAGCCAGTTAATTTCTGTTATAGTCTGATGCTGACAATTCAGTAAAACAAGAGTACTTTATTATTACAAATATCATTTTATTCTTTTTTTTATTTTTTATATCCAGGCACAAGAAGTGAAAAATCAAAATGTTTATAAACAGTTATGCTTATAAACAGGAAATGAACAGTTCATATAAATTAGTGCAAGCAGAATGGCTAATAATCGTTGACTCGTCTGAAGGAGCCCACAATAGCACAGGTAGCACACCAGTCTCGGTATCTCCTGTATTCCCCAGGTTTCAGGAAGTACTGCCTCCCTCTGTAGTTGGGATATTCATAGAAGATCCAGTAGCCATTCATCACATTACAGGAGTACACATGCCGATGGTGGAAACGGTCAGACACACAGGGGCAGTCATCCATGAATTCCATCATGTGACCTCCGTAGTCAGCCTTCTCATAGATCCTCATTCTGTATTGTCCCCTGTACTGTTGACATCAAGATGCAAAGGAATGATTTAGTACACTGGCATCAAAGAAACTGTCATGTATATCCACAAAAGCAGCACATTCAGTGAACCTCACCATTGGTATCTGGCGACAGGATCGAATACAGCTACTGAAGCCCATCCATCTCTGGTAGTCAGAATACTCGCCTCGCTTCATAAAATACTGGTGGCCCATATAATTTGGACGTTCATAGATCATGAAACAGCCACTCTCTACTCTGATGGAGTTGCAGCGACTGAAGTAAGTGTGTAGGTCTGTGCAGTCGTTGCTGCACTCATAACTACGACCTTGAAAATTTTTGTCCTCGTAAAAAACAATCTGAAAAAGTTAACAAAATCAACACTTCATTTTAGTGCCGCTATCAGGAGAGTAATCCGTATGCAGCAAAGGTTAGTATACATAGGGGAGGTGCAATTCAATGTAAAAGTCATGAAAGTGGTGCCAAAAATCCTACCTTGCCCATGGTCACCGTTGGAGAGATTCCATATGCTTCCCAAGCTTTTTATACTGCCTCTTGACAAACAAAGTATTGTTATTCAAATTATCACAGGAATATGTCAGGGTACTGGCACATGTTACCTTTTTGTTAGAGCACAATATTGGGTTCAAAATATGGATTTTACTTGAAAAAGGATATATAATTACATGTTGGTGTTTTCTCTTGCATGGTCCAGGGAAATGACTGGTACGCACCCTCACATTCACACAATGCTCACAGAACAATATGGAACATCCCTTTTGCATTAAAGAAGTTGCTCAACAGAGGGAGCGGTTACTGAGATTCCATTCTCAATAGGATTTTCAACTGCACTGACATACTTTACAGATTTTTTTCAGTAAATTCTTTCATATGAGAAAAATGCAGAAATTACATGGAGAATTTACAAAGGGAAATTAACAGAGAAAAAAAAACTATTGTAATCCTAACTCTGTTTTGGGAATGATTAAACACAAGTGTTATGTGAGCATTGTCTCATTCAAATGTCAATTCGTCTCTAGAACAGGGGTGTCGCATTCAGTTCCCGGAGGGCCACTATCCAGAAGAGTTTAGCTCCAACCCTAAATAAACATACCTGAACCAGCTAATCAAGATCTTTAGAATTACTAGAAACTTCCAGGGTGGTGTTTTGGTGCTGTTTTAAAACCATAGATATTGGTTAATAAAAATTTTATAAAAATTAGTTTGTTTTTAGCTATTAGCAATATTAGCAACAAGCAAAAGGCCCAAATAAAGTATAAATGAATTAATATATTGTGGCATGTAAAATATGCTAAATGTTTTGTTTTGTTTATCAATATGATGGTCATTTTCAATTTCTCACTAACACCTACAGCTGTGGATGCAGCATCATGCAAAAGTTAAGTAGAAAAAGTTCAATGTAGAAATTGCAGCAATATGTCCAACAAGTTTTCTGTAACGTGCATGTGTATTATTTATGTGCTTTTTGTAAATCTCTTCTACATGTGGATAAATAGCCTAAATATTTTTAATTGCAAAAGTAAAATGAAATGCAAAACTTTTTAAGTGGAAAAAAAATACAAACATCTTTTAGAAAAAGGCCTAGGATACACAGTAAAAAGCAATCAAGCAAGCAGTAATCATTACATGTTCTTGTGATATCATAAACTACCAATTGACTACGTGTGCAAATAGTTTTTATCAGTCCCACAAAAGGAAATATGATTCACAAACCTGTTAGCAGGAGTATTCCAAGAATAAAAATAACCACATAATCACAAAGCCATAATTTCATAAATACATGTAAAGTAGGACACTTTTTCATCTACCATGTTGTGTATATTCTTCCATTAGTAAAAAAAAAAAAAAACTTGTATTAAGTTATTACAAAATAGTACGGCATGACATTGATAGTAGTTATTGGGATTATACCTTAAAAACAGCAGCAGATATTATCTGAAATGTATATCCACCCAATCACAACTAAAATTACTTACTTTCATTAAAAATCCAGAATGACATTGAATTAATTGATTGATTATTCAGTCTTCGTATTCAGTCTTCTTCTTTACATTATAAAGCTGAATAGGTGTTTAGGATAAAAAACTTTGTAATTTGGTATTTTATAGCTACTTTGTACCACGATAACATGCATGTGTAATAAATACGTCCTCTAATTTCTTTGAGGTCAATGTGCATTTAAATAGAAGAGCTGCTTTTGATTTTTGTCATGGTAGTGAAAGATTTATCTACAATGAGGACAGTTAATCCAGACTGAGCCCCACATTGTTCAGCCAAAAGCATAAGCTGTGTGATAGACAGTTTGCCCTCAGTTTTGCTTCACTGAATTTTTCAATGAATATTTTCCAGTCTGGTAACCAGATTTGCACTGATAGGTCAGTGAAGGAAATTAAGTTTAGAATAACTATAGTTACAGTTTAATTATTTTAATGATTTTTAGTTCACATTAAAACACTACACCAGAATAATAGCCAGGCAAGAAGATATTTCAATCAAGAGAATTTATTTAGTGCATATGTTGCTGGACAATTCATGTTGTCTAGTTGAAAGTGGTTATTCTCCTGAGGGACCCAATTCTTGGGGCCGTTCCTCCCCACTCGCTGTACTTCCTGTATTCACCTGGTCCAAGGTAGTACATTCGTCCCCTGTAGTTGGGATGCTCGTATAGAAGCCAGTGGCCGTCCATCACGTGGCAGGAGTGGATGTCAGATGTATGGAAGCGTTCCATGATGTTAGGGCAGTCTTCTGTGAGTTCAATCATCTGACCTCCCATATCAGCCCGGTCATATAGTCTCATTCTGTAGTTACCATTATACTACAAGAAAACACAGATTTGGGATATACTAAGCAACACATTTATAATTTCATGTGGCAAGAACGTCAAAGTGTGTTTCAGCAGTCAAAAGCATTATATTTATTTGAATTCATGAACTAGAGCATGGTTATTTTTTAATCATTTAATATTTATTCCCTTAAATCACTTACTATGGGGATCATACGGCATGATCTGATATAGTTACTGAACCCAATCATACGCTGACAGTCAGAATAATCCCCCCTTCGCAGGAAGTACTGCTGTCCCATATAATTTGGGTGCTCATACACCATGAAGCACCCACTCTCTACCCTGATAGAGTTGCATTGGGTAAAATAGGGGTGCAGGTCGGCACAGTCGCTGCTGCACTCATGATGGCGGCCCTGAAAGTTCCTGTCCTCGTAGAAGATAATCTATTAAAGAAAAGTGGTACAGTAAATCTACTATTCAAGTTTGCAATAATGAGCTTTAATACAGCTGTAAACTGGCTTCATGCTATAGAGTTAAAAAACATAATAAGTCTATTAGTCTGAGAGTGAGAGAAGTTACAATCTTACCTTTCCGATAGTCATGTTGGCATCTGGCAGGGTTATACTGCTCAACATAGCATCCAGTTTATCACTGTCTTTTATAAAACCTAGAAGCAGCTGTGATTGCACAGCATAAAGTATTGTCATTCAAATAAATCTAGCCCAGTGAGTAGTAATAGGGGCTACAATCAGGGGGGCAATGAAAAAAAAACTGATTATGTTTGGCTCCTGTCCTGCAAGCAGAATCTTCAATCTGGCTGCAATCAGCACAATGAATCAATGCAAAATATCTTTTATTGAATCAGTTGAGTAATAGATGCTTAGTCTGGATGAAAGCTGCAATATTGTTTTATGATTTATCTTATTTAATGACCAAAAAAATGCCAGTAAACTAACATGAAAGCAGAACATGGAATCATTTTACAGAACTTGTGTCCTTTTAAAACGGTATAAAGAAAACATTACAGTCATTTATACGCAGTTTTATTTGATTGATTAGTCGTAGAAACAAAATTACGTTTTGAAAAATATACTGTCAAGTAAAACATTTTATAAGTCAAAAATAAACAAATTGAAAGATTCAGAGTTTATAAACATTTATTTTAAGGTAACATAAGAGAGTGTCAAGGCTGCATGAGTTAATCAACATGTTTGCTTTTGATAATTAACATGGCTAATAACATGGCGAATATTGCCAATTTGAAGTCGTTTGATGGAACCCACACGGGCGCTCATGCCTCCCCATTCAGTGAACCTGGTGTATTCTCCAGGCCTTATGAGGTACATCCTGCCTCTGAAGTTGGGATTTTCGAAGAAGAGCCAGTTTCCACCAATTACCTTGCAGGAGAATATGTGGTTTGTTTGGAACATGTCCATCAAATCTGGACAGTCTTCCACAAGAGCCATCATTTGACCTCCATACTCAATTCTCTCAAAAATTTTCACCTCATGAGAAGATCCCTATATGCATGATAGATAGAAGAAAAAAAAGTGTATGTAAATCAGCTACTATCCACTAGTTTTTTAAGAAAAAAAATCCTGAAATTTAAAAGAATGATTGGAGTGATAAAAAAGTGAAGTTTGTAATTTCTTTCAATGTAAATCACTCAAGCATATATAGTAGCATATAATCACCATGGGAATTACACGGCAGGAGCAGACAGAATCATTTTTGCCCAACCAGCTTTCAAACTCTGGATACTCTCCTTTACGGACCAGGAATTGCTGGCCGTTGTAATCTGGTTGTTCATAGATCATGAAGCATCCACTCTCCACCATGATGGAGTTACAGCGGTTAAGATAGCAGAGCATATCCGCACAATCACCACTGCATTCATATTGATGACCCCCAAAATATTTGTCTTCATAGAAAATTATCTGTTAAGAAAGAGATAGAATAAAAAAAAGAAATTTAGTCCATATACATACACAATTTACAGTAAACCATCATACGTCTTCAATATAACACAAAACAAAAGCCTCGTTTTGTGGGTTAATCCAAACCCTAACCCTTTCTCAATTTCCTCACAGTATTGCATACCTTCCCCATTTTTGACAGTGCAGTTGTACCATGGGAGTGTCACACTGTTCATTACTTTGAGGACACTCTTTGGTATATATAGTAGACACAATGTGCCGACACAGTGTGTGTCTTTCATATTAAAATTGCACAAAAAAAGGGAGGGTAAAAGGTGTAAGGGGTATACAGTCAAAGACCCAGAACCAGATATGAAGAATGAAGACCCGGAGTCAGAATTATAAAAAATTAAAGAAAAGTTTTACTGAAGATAGTTTGCATTTTCATCAGCAGAAGTCAGCTTCAAGACTCACACAGGAGTTCGTAGGCCGCCCCGCTTACAGTTACAAAGATCACAGCAGTTATACCATTTCCAAGGTCTAAGCTACGTCATTGCTTACAGGTTGAATGATTCTCATTGGCTAAGAAACATTAAGAGCCTAAACAATTTAACACATGTGAGGAGATAGGGGTGCCTATCGCCATTAGTCAAGATAGTTGTCGTCCACTCATTAGATTTAGGTCTGTGGTGGCCTCGCAGGTTAGAGAAGGGCGCCGGGGTGTCTGGTCCGACCGTCCAGAACCTACATAGAATGTCATACGCACACACACACAAATAACAGACACTAGCAAATAACAGCTCCCATCAAGGCTGAAGAGAGTCTGAGCTCCTTATTATCAGTTAAGTATACCAAAACATAATGCTAAAACATTCACTCGTTTGGGAGAAAAACAGATCACTGGCATTTACTCCCAAGGAAGGAAATATACTGGAAAGAATACATTTTAATACAACAATTAAAGTTTGATAGTAACGCTCAATATAGCTTGACCATATGTCCAGCGAAGAATCATATGTGCCCACGCTGCCTTTAGGACCCTCTAACCTTTCTACTGATCCCAGAGAAAGAGACAAACGGCCTTGTGGGTTACGTGGCCTTCGTGTCCTGCGTGTACTACGGGCAATCTCAAAGTAAGATTGGAATGCACCTAAAAGAAACTGGTTACTTGCATCCATGCATTTAAGAAAATATAATTTCACAAGCACAAGAATATAAAAATTATTATGTGATAATGAATATATTTGATTATTGATTTTTATAAAGGAAGTATATAACCATTCAAAATGATATATGATTATATATGTATTTGAAGAGGCAAGGGATTTTGACCAACCCTTCAGTCCCCCGTTTTAGACCAATGTGGGGTCCAATACCGCCACGTCTGGTCTAACCAGTGAGGTCACTACGGAAGGGAGGAGTGGTGACGCATGCTCCCCTGACGGGTCACACTTGTCTCTTCACCTCGTCATGGACATGCTGGATACTAAAAATTCCAGTCCCCATTAAGAGGCTCTCCCACCTTCCACTCACAACAGGACATCAATGTCATTCTTCCTCAGTTTATCAGTCAGATTAAAATTTTTATAAAACACATACCTGATTACGAAACAAGTACATATTTATTCTCTGGAAGCCAGGCTAAATAAGCAAGCACTATTGCTGTATTCCTAGCATGGGCTAGATCCACAGTCACTACTCAGATCCTAAATAAAGACATTGTCTATAATCATGAATACCAGAATATATGCACTAGTTTTTTTTTTTTTTATAAAATTATGATTTCCAAATCCTTTTATTATAAACAAACTAAGTTGGATGGTTAATCCATTATTTTCACTACCCCTTTTATAGGCCCTTTAGGTTTAAAACACAATGGTTGTCTAACTAAAAATAAACAACAAACAATAAAATATTAATAATTAAGACCCATAATAATCGATGTAAGCACTTTAAGTCTTTACTGAAATCATCCTTCAGTTTACAGTCACATAGCATGTACCATTTTAATTGTATAACATCTTATACCCTTTTTTGTTTGTTTCAAAAATAGAAATAAAATAAAACAAATTCACATCATCATTTCAGTCATTATTTTACCACTAAAATATAGGATCGTTCCCCATTCTGCTTAATAAAGCTTTTGTTCATTCCTTATCCTTATATCACTTGAATCCCTGTCAATCATACAATGTCTAACCCTAACCTTTTTCATACCATTTAAACTTAATTTGACTTCCATAAATCCTATCAGAAATTGTATTTTCATAACATACATTTTCTTCTACTATATTTCTTCCATCTTGCCCTACATGCCAGTTCCTTCTGCATCCGAGTCTCTCACCACTGTCAGCCTAGTGACACTTAAAGTTCCCTCGTTAGGGAAATCATGGTATTTTATTAATTCTTCAATACTCTTGTTTTCTTATCATTAACTTCAACTTTATTTTTCATTATAACTACTTCTCACAGTATTTGTCTCAGTTCCACTTATCTTTACAGTTTTACAGAAACCAAAATATTATGTTACTCAGATCCCAGCCCACAGCCATATAGCTGCTTTCTCTTTTTACCTTTATTAAATTGTAGTTTTCTTAGACATCTAATGTCATACATTCATTTGAGGGATTGAGAAATAAAACCTTTTCTTTTTAGAAGTTATATTCACTCCTTCTTTGTTCGCCCTCCGGCCTTTCAATAAAAAATGAGGGAGCTCACTCTGGATAATTTGGATAGTGACTTAGCCAATGTGTCACTTTGTCTCTCTGCCGTCAAGTCTATATATATATATATTTTTTTTTCCTACGTTTATCCTTATGATCCCACCTAGTTGTCTATTTAAATTTAGACCCTCAGTTGAATTTAGACAAGAGTTTTACCCCATAATGGACGGCAATCTTCTTTACAATTCCAATTTATATAAAATACTAATCCAGAGAGTAATTCAGTTCAATATCATAAATGACAAAAGCATTCATAATTACCAATAGCAGACCGAGCTGGAAAAACCACTCCAATTAAAGCTCGTCCCATGTTCTGCATTGTCTTTTCATCAGATTGACTTAGAATTATCAACTTTTTTAAAGTTGGCCATTTCACTTAACCCATCTGTAATGATAAAACACTAATTCCAGAGGTTAATGACACAATATCCTCAAAATCAGGAAATAATAGTACCCCAAACTAATGCATAGAAGACATAAAGTGCTGTCACCATCACACACACTCATACTAGACACACATATGTTAAATGTTCATTTTCAATATTCATTTTTCTTTATATTATTGCTAAAAGATTTAAAATTTAAATAAGATTTTAAACTTCCCATTTTCCGGTAGCTTCTACCTAATTTTACATGGTCTCCCAACCAGTTTCAAAGCATGTCTTGTTCATTATTCATTAGAATTTAACAAGGTCAGCTGGGTTGTTTTGTTTCATTATCATTATTTTGCTTCAGCTTGCTCTAGCAGGCCAATAACAGAAAGACAGACACAGTTACCATCCCTTCCTCTGCTCAAGCAGTCTCTCTCACTATAAACAAATAATTTTTCCACCAGCCTCCTAAGGCTGTAACTTAGTCAAAATTTGTATTCATTACAATAACCTTTGACCATTCACCTTTGTCATCCAGACTTTCCTTAAATCAAAAGCTGTCTTCATCTTTAGCCACCACCATGTCTAACGACCTTCAAGAGTTAAAACTATGTCATAGACCTATTAGTTCAAAATCAACACTATGATTTTCC